TTCTGAGATCGAATCTGAGCCAACGGTGTGGAGCTAGCAAGGACTTAATTTAAGGGATATATTTTGGAAGTTTCATTTCTGTCAAGCAGACGCACTCACGAGTTATTACCTTGCTAACTTGTACAGCATCATTGCTGTTTTATTATTCTTTCATATATATATATATATTGTTTGGAACTTTGGTGAAGTTCCAGTTAATTGTTATTAATGCTAAAATCATATCACCGTTAATCTCTTCATACTTATTGGATATTTTCAAAAGTACTGGATTTGTTTACATCATTCGCTAGTCAATTTAAAAAAAGAAAAAAGTTTAAATTGCAGAAGTAAATTGAGGTGATTCATCTTAAAACATACTATGATTTGTTGTTCAGAAATGACAAAATGTTAATAAATGCGTGGCAAATAATAGAAGATACTATTAATATATTAAAATTAATTAATTAGATAGAAAAATTAGGTAAATAAAGGTGTGGTGAAATTTTATCAATCGTACATGATCCTCTGAAATGAACTTTGCAACATTTTATACCGGTTAATCAGTCAGTAATACTCAAGTTATTGAGATTACTTGGATATTACTGACTGATATAATACCAGTAATGCCATACCAGTAATATTATTACAGTAATACTCATTAAGCACTTCAAGTAAATCTTATACGAATTTGTGAGTATTACTAACTGATACTTAAGTTACTGAGATTTTTGAGTATTACTGACTGATATTATACCAGTAATACTATACCAGTAATATTATACAGTAATATTATATTATACCAGTAATACTTATTAAGCATCTCATCAAATCGCTTAATTTTCTCCCTTTTGATCGTACTTTTTTTTTTGTTTCTACGTTGTAACTTTTCCAGATATGTTTTAATTGTCCTATTCACATTTACTATGTGACCTCTTGTATTTTACAATCAAAAAAAGCCAATTAAATTTTTTTTTAACCTTTTGAATAAAAATCTCAAAAATTCGTCTCCATAAATTATTCATTCAAATTTAATACGGTAACTTTTGTAAAACAATTTTTTCAGCAATTATATCATAGATTGAAGATGAAACAAATTTTTGCGGACATTTTTTAATTTCGGAAATTTCTTAATGAAAAAATTCTTAATTATTGCAATTTGAAATTGATTTTGAAATTGATTTAATTGAGTTATAAATTTACGAATTAAATTTAATTTAATTTGTAAATTTAATTTACAAAACTTTCGGTGTCAATGTGTGGCGAATATTTGGTCAAAGATACTTTCATTTTCTTCGTTTCACATCAAAAAAAAAAGCTCATCGTAGCAAAAATAATAGCAATTGATATTAGCCACAAATTATGACGGAAATAATGAAATCATTAAAATAGCATTTCTTATCTTTCTAATTTTCGACACATATATATATATACACAATTAATCAAGTAATTAATTAATTAATAATTGAATGAAAAAGAGTGAAAAAAAAAAGAGCAATACTTTATTACAATAGAAGCACACAATGGCGACAGACATAATCAATCAAGAATCTACGATTGTAATCATGATAAAAGTAATAATAATAATAATAATAATATGATTGCAATTATTAATAATATAATAATAATAATAAATAATAATAAATAATAATAATAATATGATTGCAGTTATTAATAATATAATAATAATAGTAATAAAAGAATGTAATTCAAATCAATATCTTTTTCTCATGACAAAAAAATCGTAAATGTGATTATAATAACAGTAGTAATGATAATAATAATAATAGTGATAATAATAATGATAAGATACAATTTAATGTTATTAAGAAGCTTTTTTATAAGAAAAATTCTGATAATAAAACTAAATCGTTAAAAGTAAGAGGGAAAATTTATTGTGAAGACACAAATATGAAGGCAATTTTTGATAAGATAAGATATTTTTTTAACAAACTTATCAAATTTAATTTGAAATGAAAAGAGAGAGAGAGAATAGATAATATCAAAATTATCATTATTCTCTATATTTTCCATGTAAAATATTTTTTTGTTAAATAAAATTGAAATATATAAATTAACTTTATCTTCACTTTCTCTGCAATGTTCTGCAACAACTTTGATATAAATTCAAATACTTAATGCAATTAAATTACTACAAATACTCATTATTATAATTAGTATTTAAGTTAAAATTTTTGTTGAAATTAATTATTCAAAATTTCATCTTTAACAAAATTATTATCCAACCTTAAATAAATTATACCTTTCCAACAAATAAATGGGCATAGTAAATAAATTTTACAATTGAACAGAAAATTTGCTAATTTTATTAGTGAAAAAAATTTTGCTAAAATTATTATACGAGACTAGCACTAGCAAGAAGAGAGAAAGAGGAAGAAGAGAATGAGAAGATGGAAAAAGTGGCAAAAATAAAATAAAATAATAGAAATGAAAACTACTAATTGCATAAATATGAAATGATGGAATGGCAAAACTAAATGAAATTTTGTTTTTTATTTTTCTTCATACTAATAAATAACTTACAAAAAGAAAACAAAACAAAACAAAAAACACTCACTCTTCTTGACAGCTTTAGCTAAAAAACAAAAATTAGAAAAACAATTAGTAATTATAAAAATTGAAAAAAATTCATTCAAATTTTTCATATAATAAAATATAAATTAAAAAGGAGTAAAAGAGAAAAAGAAAAAAAAGGAAAAGAAAATTATAAAAGGAATTAATGAGAGAAATGAATATTTGGAAATTTTGAGGAAAAATTTTCATCTATGTCCCATCATAACTTTTGTAATAAAATTTACAACAGCTGTAGCAGGTTGTTCAGGTTCTAATTCAGCAAAAATATGACATGTATTATCCGTTCTTGAGCCTATCTTACGTGCCACAAAAGCAAATATTCGTGCATTTTTCACATATTTTATCATGGTACCATCTAAATACGAATTATCCCACCTGGAAAATTAAATCATTAATCATGATATTATTATTATTATTTTATTTGAAAAAGATTAAAACAATTTGAAAGTGATAATATATTTTATCATGTTACCTTCTAAAGATGAATTATCCCACCTGTAAAATTAAATCATTAATAATTATATTAGTTTATTTGAAAATGATTAAAACAATTTGAAAGTGATAAGAAATGATAATTTATCATATTTCTATCATTTTTTTTTAAAGAAAACTAATATTTCATCATATCATTTTAAGAAGTTTTATTTCATTTTTAAATATGTATCATTTAAATGTTAAATTGTTTAACATATCAGTTAAATTTTAAAGATGTAAAAATAATTGTAGCTGTAAATTTCAATTGTAAAAATTTTATGATTTTAATTTCTGATATATCTTTAGATGATAAATCATTGATAAAGTAATTGAATTTAATGAATGTATTATATGCAAATAAAAACTAGCATAATAATTAAGTGATTTTTGAAGAATATCTTTCATTTTCTTTTTTGTGAACAATATCTTTCATCCATTGATGAAACATTAAGTGAAGCATAATATGATATGAAATTTTAATTTCATACCTTCGATCGGAAGGATCTAAACCAGCATATGTAACAGATTGTGCAGGATAATGACGCCTAAAGAAAAGTTGCCTTGTATTATCCGTTATTGTGACACCTTGAGATGATACCTGCAACAATATAAGTGTATAATTTGTAAATAATAAATTACCAAAAAACATTATCATAAGATTAATAATTAATAATAATATTCTATGTATAAATTCCGGTATTTTATATAAATGCAAAATAAGATCAGAATAATAAATCATGAAAATAGTTTATTTCACAGTTTTACTATGAGTTGCGTTAAAAAAAAGTAATCTAATTAACATATATGAGACAGTCCTGAATTAAATTCAAATTTTCGATAGATAAAAAATAATACAACCATATTATAATATGTATATCGGACGAACAGCTGCGACAAAATTAAATTTTAAAAATTAGAAAAATCTATTAACAATCTTTTTCACACTCTTCTAATTTAATCTATTTTTAAATATAACTTTTGTGATGCAAATATTTTCTGCAATTAGTAGAAAAATATTTCAAAAAATTTCAATCCTTATAATTTCAAAATACCATTATTCTTTTAATTACATAAAATTAAAGTAAATTATTTGCTAAAATATATTTGTTTATTTTGAAATAAAATAAATTAAATTGTTGCTTATATTAATTTAAATTAAAAATTTGGTAAACTTTTTAACAATAAATTATTTTATATGCTATTCGATAATTAAAGCTAATTAAAAAAAACAATTAAACGCATGAAAAAAAGAATGAATTTCAATGATTGTTAAATAGAATTTAATATATTAATATGAATTCAATTATAAATTTCTTATTATAAATTCAATTATAAATTATTATTTTAAATTCAATTATAAATTTATTATTATAAATAGTTGGAAAAATTCTTTTTATATATAATTTTAAAAATTAAAGAAGAAAAACGAATAAACTTTATCAATTATATCACTAAGTCTTATCAGTTAGTTATTCGTTTTATACATTGAATATATTTAATTTGTTATTCAATAATTGTTATGATAACAATTTATCAGTATAATAAATTCAATTGATACAAAATGAAAATGATTAAATTGTAATATAATGAAGATAGTTGACCGAATTAGATGAACGGCCATGAACTATTCTGATGATGAACTCAATATTTATAAATGAAATAAACATTATTCGTTTTAGTTTTCCTTTTTAGTTAAAAATATTTGTTTAATCAAAAAGTTAAAATTTAATATTTAAAAAGAAAAAAAATCCTCCAATATTTTTTATTGTAGAAAAAATAAAAATTATATGTTAATATAAAATTATATTTGATATAATAAGCAATTATTTCTATTTTTGTAAACCTTTAAAATCAATATATAATTTAAATTTAAAATGAATTAATAATTTAAATTTGAAATGAATTAATAATTTAAATTTGAAGCGAATGCATAAATGAAAGCATAAATTTAAATTTAAAGTGAATACATGATTTAAATTTGAAATGAATACATAATCCAAAATTTGAAATGAATACATAATTTAAATCTTAAACGAATACATAATTTAAAATATTCAATATTTTATGTAGCATTTTATATCATTCTTATATCCCAATATTTTATACACTTTTGATTTATTATAATTCGAATTAATTTTCTGATTTCATTGTAATTTTAATTCTCCGAATACTTGATTAATTAAAAGAAACAAAAATTCAAAAATTAATATTTAAAAAGAACGAAAAAAATCTATCAATAATTATTCTTGGCAAACTTTTTTTTTTTAGAGCAATTTTGCTAATTTTTTTTCCGACGATATTATCGTCGTAAATTGTTGAAATCATTGGTAGGAAATGAAAAAGAAGAAAATAAAAATGAGCCATACTAAGAATATGATCCTAATTTCCCAGATGTAAAATGATCATTGATGATCGCAGTCATTTTGTGTAATAAGAAAAAAACAATAAAATAATTAAACAGATGTAATAGATTAAATTTATAAAATGTTAACGTTTAAAATTTAAACTAAAGTTTAACTTTTATTAAATTTTCAAAATTTTCCTCATATTATACGAATCATTTAATTTGATGATAAATGAATATTATTTTATCGATATTATTTATTGCTTTAAAATTAAGAATGATTGGATTGAATGTAAGTGAAAAATTGTTATAAAAATTTTATTACAGCATTAAATTAATATCATACCTTAAAATGTACTGGAACAGGTTGTATGATTTTTTGCTTGAGAAGTTCGAAAGTTTGATCGATACATCGTCGGGCAGCTTCAGGTCCGGTTAATGATTCGGTATCCAACGAAATGATATATGTTACATTGCATGCTAACAGAAAAAAAAACTTTAACTTTAGAAAAATTTAAAACTTTTTTCTATTCATTAATTAAAGAACATCAGAACAATAATTTCATTTCATTAGACTGTAATCAATTGATTGCTTATCACTAATAAAAAGAAAAACTTTTTTGGCCCTAATAATTTACAGTAGTTTTATAGGATCTATTTTACAATTTGTTTACAGTAAACAAATGAAATAACTGTTTACAATAAACAAATGAAATAATACAAATCACAAATTACATTTGTCAACAACTTCTTTTGGCCAACTTCTCTTGCCTATACGAGTAAGATTTGAAAACATTGATTGAAGTGAAATGGATTGAAATTGAAATTTGTATCTTTTATGTATCTTTTAAATTTTATTTTTTTCAATGCTAAAAAAAATGCTCGCTAATTAAGCAAAAATAAAAAATAAAATTGAATAATTTGTGACAGCTAACCGGCTCCTTGTTGTAGAAGTTGTTGTGCAGCAGAGATATGTTCCGGTGTATTAGCTGGATCGTATTCGGGTAGCAATAGTTTAGTAGGTAGAGCAAGTGGTATAATTGAATGTTGATAGACAAGTGCTGATAGAGTGCCAAATACTGGCTCATTATTACAACCCTTTAATTTTACACCTTTTGGTGATGGCTCAATCAGAAAATGACGTACCAATTCTGTACCATCACCTGAAATTTAATATTTTTTTTATTAGGTTAAAACTAAAAAAAAAGAAGAGAAAGAAAATGAGTTAATAATAATTATAGTATTAATAATTATGATAGTAACATTTGATTATAATCATAGAAACAATCATGATAAAAACATTCAATTATAATCATGATAAATAATCAGTGTAAACGCAAATCTTAATTAATTGCAATGACACTGCATGTGATATGAAAGCACAAAATAAATTTCAGTAAATATTTTATTATTTACTTTATGGTTATCATTTAATTGACCGAAATAATCCCCGTGATAACTTCCATGAGATACTAATGATAAATATAGGGAAGTATCTGGATCAATAATTAAACATTATTTTATATATATAAAAATGAATGTCTTTTTATGCTTCAACAATAATTTCACTTCATTGTTGAAATAACTACTCACATAAGTTATAGTTAGAATAGTTATAAAAAATAGATTGAAAATAAAATTACCAGGATGGACACCAGGTGGTGGTGTACTAACTTTTAGTGCTAAACCAAATGCACCCGGAAAACTGTTACTATCCCGTACAACAAACGTACCCGGTGGCTTATCTCTGAGCATGTTTACAGCTGAAAATTCAACAGTATATATATATATATATATATATCATGATAAAAATAATATAAGCTAAAACTAAAATCAATAATAATATAAGCTTGCATAAATTTAATTTCACTCTTTTACTGACAAATTAACATTATAATTATAAACTTTATAGTTAATAATTATAAACTTATAATTATAAACTAAATCATCATTATAAGCTAAATTATAAGCTGCAAATATTTCAATTTGTTAAAAATTTAAAAAGAAAATTTATAAATTTTAAATGAAAAATAAAAATGAACAAGAAAAATTAATGATAATTTTGAAGTATAAATTAACCTTCTTCTCTTGATATTGTTGGCTTATACCAGTATTTCGATGTATTTTTCACAAATAATGGATGATGATGAATTACTTCACCTAAATCTGCAAATAAATATTATGATAATATGATATGATAATAATTGATAATAATTTACCTTTGAAATATTATTGTAAAATCATATTTTATCGAACTCTGTTACATTTTCTTAACTTTTTAAAATAAAGTTTTTTCTTCGTCTATCTTTAAAAAACAAAAGAATTAAGAAATTAAAACAAATATGAGTGAGTGAAAAAAAGTTGTTGCAGAAAAAAGAAGGAAGAAATAAAAGTTTAAAATTTAAATAAATATGAGTGAATGAAAAATTACATAGTAAAAATTAAATTAAATTAAAATATAAGCAAGTTTAAATTAAATGATTTAAATATTAAAACAACTAATTGACATACTTCAAATAATATGCAAGTGGTTAAGTAAAAGATGGTGCAAATAATTAAGTGTAAAAAGTTTAGTAATAATTTTTAGAAAGGAATTTTATTAATGAGAATGTAAAATTATTAATGGATTAATTTGATTAGAAATGATGATATATGTTATTATCATATAAATGATATCAGTACTATTTACGATCATAAAAATACCATTAATATTAATAATATTTACATATACTTTTACTGATAAGATCATTATTTTGTCATTTTTTGATGATTGAAAAATTAATACTTATACTTAATATTTATTTATACTTTTACTGATAAGATCACTATTTCTGGATGATTAAAAAGTATATATATATATATATGCAAAGAAAAAATTGCCATTGTACATAATATATCAAACCAATACATACAAATAAATAATTCAGAAATTTAATTTTAATTTAATTAAAATTAACTCACTCAATGTTTTGTTATTATAAATAATTTTTGTTTGATGATTTCGAAGTGTCGTATTGTAAGCTGATTGTATATCACCATTTCCAGTGCCAATATCAATCGAATTCTTCATATTAATTGTAGCATTTTTCCAACTATCTGTAGCACCAGGAGGACTTTCTGATACATTTCGATCTTCCAGATTTTTTGAAACAGTTTGATCAATATTGAATTCTAAGCTTCCAGAAGATTCCAAATGATGATTTTTTATTAAATCAAAATTTTCAATATTTTTTATCATCTCAGAAGTAGCATCTTCTCGTGAGTTATCATGAATGTATCTTTCATCTGTTCCATCTGTATCCGCCAAATTTGTTTGCTCTCTTTCTATAATAAATTTTGAACTCTTTTCGCATACTTCTTCATCATCTTCCATTTTAATTTTAACATTTCCAACGGTTGGAGAATTCATCGATGTTACCCATATCATATCATCATCATTCGTTATCACTTCACTCTTTACAATTTCATCGTTCATCTTATCAGATGATGATACTTTCACCATAACTTTTTCTTTTTCCGTATTTTCATTTTCATCGCTCTTTGAACTATTCATTTGATGAGATGTTGCAATATCGTTCACATTTTTTCCCGGATCATTTGATTTCTGCATCATCTCTGCGGACAATTCAACATTCTCAACGTTTCCATTTTTCAGGATAGATTCTGGCACTTCAGTGTTAGCATCATTTTTGTAGCATAAATTTTCATAATTTAATTCAGAGTATTGAAATGAATTCAATTTTTCATTTTCGGTTAATTTCATTTCCATTGTTTGCACTGATGTTGTTGCATCATTATCCGATGATAAATCGCTTGAAATACTCAAAATTGTTGATGCTGATGCTGAACTTGTTTGTGATTCGGACATTCACTGATGAAAACTTTGTGAAAAGAGTATCTTCCTTTATCAATTCCTAACAAATTATAAACTTTCATTTCAAAAAAATTTTCATTATCTCAAAAAAGAAAAAGCGTAAGTAAAATTAATTAATTTTAATTTCAATTAAAAATTTCTAATATTTTTTATAAGTATTGCTATAAAATGATTGTTGTATGATAATTTGTTAGCGCTGAATATAATTGATTAAATTATAAATTATTGTTAAATATTTACAATCTATCTTAACTTTTTCCAAAATGAAAGAATTTAATTGAAGATCGATCATAATTTGCGATAATCACAAGTTCGGCAAAATAATACACTATGATAAGAAATCAATAACTCTTGTTTAATTTTAATTAAAAAGTTGTAATGAAGTAATTTGAAAATATATTCGACACTATTGCTAAATAAAGAAAGATGCGCGATAATGTGACATTATTGTACGATTACAATTTCACCAAAATTAATGATAATTCTAAAAAATATATATGTAACAAATGAATGACGATAGTGATAGTAATAGTAATAATAATAATAATAATGGCACCAATACTACATTTTAATTCACCTTTATCGAACCGTAAAAATACTTCTTCCGTTAAATCGGAAATATTTTCATGAAACTGGTTTTGTCACATAACGATAAAAATGTAAAGCATTAAAAAAAAAACCCGAAATGAAAATAAAGTAAGAGGGTAAGAATGGAATTTTCTTCAATAATAGTAGAGAAGGGACAAAAGGATAATACATTAAATGACGAATGAAAATATACCATTTTAGGTGGAAGTATGTGTTGAATTAAGAAGAATGGTATGGTATAAGAAGGGAAAGATTGATTAGGTCACGATGATGGTTCATTTAACTGTCAACAGTTGAATAGGAATGTGCATGAAATGAATGATTTGTTTATGAATAAGTTTGCTGAAGAAGAAAGAGAGTTGATAAAAATAATAATAATAATAGATTAATAATAAATAATAATAATTAATAATAACAATAATAATTGATGATGATGATAATAATAAATAGTAATAATAATAATAATAATAATGATAAGAAGAAGAAGAATTGATAATGATAATAATAACAGTAAGAAATAATAATAAATAATAATAATAAAAAAAATTAATAATAATAGTATTGATAAATATAATAAATAATAATAATAATAATGACATGTTACAGAGATGAATAAGTTTGTAGGAAAGACTAATACACCATCATTCATTGTTAATAAATAAGTAATAGTGATGATGATGATATAGAACAATGATGATATCCATGTATGTATGACAAAAAATGATGATGATGATAAAGAATAGCGATGATGATGATAAAGAATAGTAATAATGATGATGATGATGATGATGATATATTCATGTTAATGTTTGATAAAGAAGTAGTGTTGTGTTGATAGGATGAAAAGTGTTTGAGAGGAGAGGTGAAGGAGGAAAAATTTATGAGAAATGTGTCAGCTGCTTTCAATTTAACAGTGAAATGAGGAAAAGTATTTGGTGCATTGTCCGCAGAATTCATCTTATCTTTTTACTATTACTACTGAAATGAGTAATTCAATGGATCAACTGAAGAAGTGTAAGCGAAGAAAACGAATGAAATAGTATGCGAAAGAATGAGAATAAAAATCAGATTAGAAATAAAACAAAAAAAAATAGTCTAAAATAATAAGGATAGAGAAAGAGAGAGAGAGAGAGAGAGAAGAAAAAACGACAATTGATAAATATTGATATGGTAATGATTAATGCTATTAATGATAATAATGATAATAGTGATGTTAATGATAATATATGATTTTAATAATAATTCTTAATAATGATAATGATAGAGATAAGTGTGATTGTAATAGTACAACAACAAACTCTCTTTCAATTTATAATATCTTAAACAACAACAGCGATACAAACTATATATTCTTCCCAATCTTTTCATTCACTCACATATAAACCTCTGCTATCATCATCATTATCACAACTATCATTTTTAGCCGCAATCATTTCTATCTGAGAGCAATTATCAATCTTTTTTCTTAATGAAAATCATTTAAAAATATCGAATGAAAAAAGATGTGATTAGAAACTCTTTTTTTTTTAATGATAAACATTTATCAGGAAAAAAATCATAAACTTACTGATAGATAACGAATGTATCATAAAAGTAATTATTATAAATTTTATAGATAGTAATTTTTAAGTAATAAAATTTTTTAAGTAATAAGTAATAAAATTAAGTAGTCAACATTTTAGATAGTAGTTATATTTTAGATAGTAATTTTATAAATTAAATTAATAACATTTTAAATTTTAGATAGTAATTTGAAATAGTAATAATTAATAAAATAAAGTATTCAATATTTTAGATAGTAATTTGAAATATTAATAATTAATAAAATAAAGTATTCAATATTTTAGATAGTAATTTGAAATAGTAATAATTAATAAAACAAAGTATTCAATATTTTAGATAGTAATTTTACATAGTAAATATATATGGAAGTATGAAAGAAAAGCAAGAATTGAAAAGAAATCTGATTAAATTTTTTTGCAAAAATAAATATGGTAATTAAGTTAAAATTTGAAATTCGTTATATCAGTTATTCGATGAATCATTTATATTCAGAGAATATGTTGAATTTACTAATCTGAAATTTTTAAAAGCTAACCTAAATGAACTCTCTTACTTAATATACAATTTCAATTTCCTCTCTAAGACAGGAAAAAGAGGGTAAGATTTATGCATCAATGAGTAATTTGCATTTCCTTCTTTTATCCAACAATAAACAATAAACAATAAACAATAAGTGAACTATTTCGAATTAGTTGAATTTTAAACAAATGTTACTAAGGTGACAAAAGCCACCGGAAGTTATATTTACATTTAAATGCCTCTTTCTTTTTCCCCCTTCCTCTCTCTCTCTCTCTCTCTCTCTTTCTCTTTCACTCTTTCCCTTGCTTTATTTTATATCCTTTTTTTCTAATCTTAAATTTTTTCAATTCCTTTTTTCCGATCAATTTAGCTCTTATGCAATTCCGATAATCGTTAATTTCAATTTTTTTCAATTCCTTTTTCGATCAATTCAATTCTTTTAATTCCAATCAACAAATTAAATTTTTTAAAGAATTTCATTTAAAAAAAATAAATAAAATGGATGAATATATAAACGTACATTAAATTTAAAGATTTAAATATAAAATTTAAAAGTATGGAATTTTTTAAAATTTGAAATAAAAGATATTTTAAGAAGAAAAGAAATGATGAAAAAAGAATGGAAAGAAAAAAAAGGAAATAAATTACTAAAAGTAATTTTGAAATTCTCAAATTTCTAAAAATACTAAAAATGCAGAAAAAACAAAATTCTATCATATCAATTTCATAAAAATAAAATAAAATAAATTTGAAATAATAAACAACAACAACAACAACAACAACAACGAAAAAGAAACCTATGATCAAAATAAGGAATATTAATTTTAAAAAAAAAAATGAAATAATAAACAACAACAACAACAACGGGAAAGAATTCTATGATCAAAATAAGAAATATAAATTTTAAAAAAGGAAAGTTTTATTTTAAAGATACGAAATGAAACGTTGTAGTACGAAATGGTTGATAAAATAGTTGATAAATAAATAAATCAAATACTAATCCAGTATAAGAGTATTAAAATAAATATTTACGAGAAAGATTTATTGATAACAGAAAGTAATGCTATAATATTAAGCTAAAGTTTCTGGTTATAATATCCGAATGGATCATATTATTCCTAGTTTCTCAATGGATTATATTTTCCGTAATATTTCTAAATCTAAAATTTTTCATTTGATAAATGAAAACAAAAGTTAAATTTAAATATTATCTCGACCTATCTATGCTAAATTATTTCATTGAAACATTTTAATAAGAGAATTAATATTCAGACGCTAATATTTATTAGTTAATATTAATTTTTGCAAAGGTTAAAAGGTTAAATATTTGATTGCAAATTTTGATACTAAATATGATAGTGGTTTAATAATGATTTTCTTTGAAATATTCTCTTGGAGTTATAATGAATTTTAAAAATAAACAAAAACAAATCAATTAATTAATTAAATATTTGTTCATATTTATTGTATGCAAAATTAAAAACTAATTAATTAACTAATAAGTACTTTTATCGTTGAAATTACTGTCCAATAATTTCTGTCAATAATTAGCTATTGGTGTAAAATACAACTATTATTAATAGCAATGATAAATGATATTATCAGGTATCAGATAAGAATGATCGGACATTTACTATCCAAATTTTTTAGTACTTATCAACAATCAGTTTAGTTTCATAAAATTAGCCTTAATTGAATTGATACAATAAACTCTGAAGAAATATAACCTAATTTTAATTTAAATGAAAATCATTTAAAATCAATTAAATCATTTAAATAAAGATTAGCGACACTTCAAAAATACCACCCAAAATTTCTAATTTTCACATTTGATAATTATCAAAAATGAATTCCTAGAAAAAATTTAGAAGAGATGAGATAATGCTTTTTTGAATCATTGAATCATCCCGTTAAATATATTTTTTGAGATATATTTATATTCGAATAAATTTTGATGAATCATACAAATTCTCTTAACTATTAATCAACAATAATTTTTGTTGATAATTTTTAGTAATCAATTAATTTTTTGATAAAATTAATTAGTCATTTATTGCAATAACAAAAGTAAGGTTAAAGTTTTAAAATAAAGTTCGGCATATTAGAAAGAAAAAGAACAAATCAACAAAAACGAATTGTTAGAATAGTTTAATTTGAAATTAAATGAACTTAAAATTTTTTAATGAAATTACGAATTGATAGGATAAATAAAAATGTGAAGAAGAAATATAAAATTGTTAATAAAGAAAACTAAAACATACCAGTTGAAGAAATTGATGTACGATGACTTTGTGCATAATAAACAGAACGTGGTGATGATGACCTAAAATAAAAAAAATAATTTCAGATTTAATTTAATAATTATCATTAAAAAATAATTGCTAATATTACTAACAAAATTTAAATATTATATATTATATTTTATTAAAATTAAAAAAGTAAATTATTCGCATATTTAAATGATATTTAAGGATTAATAAAAAGCGTTAGAATATTTAAGTTTAAAATTAAAAGAAACAAAAAATGAAAATTTTAAAAACAAAAGAAATGAATGCTAATTAAAAAAGTGCATACAATTTTTTATACTTTTAAATAAATTCATTATCTAAAAATGTAATTTAAATAGGAAAGTGATTAAAATATTTTGATGATACTAATTATAACTAATATATATCATTTCTCATAATTATTGTATAATTATAAATATTTATTAACTATGTATGAATAAATGAATAAAATAAGTATTGGCAATAATAGTGATAACCTGTAAGTAATATTATTAATTGGTTGAATTGGTGGTGCAACATCTTTTGCACCCTCAAATAGAAGTGGATGAAATGGTTGTGGTGTTTCTCGACGTACCGGAAATGCTGGTGTTGTTGCCCGGTTTGATGATTGAACTAATGACCAATCCTTAAAATTAATTTTTATTCAATAATGTGCAAAATTTCATCAAAGTTTTGTGATTTTAATTTATTAAATTTAATGGCTAATATTGAAGTAAAAGATCTATAATTAGGTTGCATATATTCAGTTCAGTGTTGCATGCTACGATTGCTAATGATTGCTAGTGTATTTTGCAGGTAAGCGCGCATTTGTAAAACTTGCAATACTTCTACTACCGTAAGCAAAGATCAATAATATGGTTGCATATATTCAGTTCAGTGTTGCATGCTACGATTGCTAATGATTGCTAGTGTATTTTACAAGCGTGCATTTGTAAAACATGCGATACTTACTTCCATTACAGTAAGCAAAATCATTAAACTCTTTTAATTATTACTCATTCCTACGGTAATATTTAATTTTTAAATATTTAATTTTCTATTAAAGTTCTAAAATAAATATTTTAATTTCCATTAAATATTTAACTATCATAGAAATTATTTACTGAAATACTTTCTCTATAATTTTACACATATTAAAAGGAGGATTTTATATCTAAAATAATTTCTTATTATCAACATTTTATTTTTCTTACGATAATTAATGATTAGCTAATTTCAAAATTTTCTAAGCTAATTTCAAATTTTCATTATTTTTTCAAAAAACAAAAAATGTGTGTAACCTCGACGGAATTACATCCACTACGATTAATCATTGGTGATGATGCACCACCACCATTTTGCACATCACGCTTTTTCAAAATTGATTTCATCGAATTTGCTGACGAATTCAATTCTGCATATGTATTATTGCTACCACTATTATTCTCCTAAAATATGAACATATCAATAATAATTGTTATCTGTTTGGTAACAGTTATCTGATAATTGATAAGAACAATTTTGATAACAATCAAAAAAAAAATAATTTATATTATAAATTTAGTAAAATGCTTTTCAGCATGAAAATACATATACACAAATAAGTATCAACTTATGTAAAACGTTTGAACTTTGAACTTCTTCGTTTCTTTCTAAATTTGAAAAATTTTCCGAAACATTTTCAGCTTATTTTGATAATACTATTATTTATAGTGTTGTATTTATTTATAAGAAAATAATTATATAACTCTTTCTCAGGTAAATTTAAATTTAATTTCTAATTTGATTTCTAATAATTTCTAGCTTTCCAATGCACGAATGATCAATTGAAATTAATCAAACTTTAATTTCAAAAAAATTTTGACATTCAACGAAGTATATATGTATATATTGAAGCTATTCTTTCTGACAGATATATCTTCCTCATGCAAATTTATGCAAATATTTCTGTAATATATTAATTTAAAGTAATAAAAAATTTTAATTTATAAATTTGAAAAATTGTAAGGGAAGAAAAACACATGCAAATAATTTAACTGATAATTTATTTAATAAATTTTTGATATAATTTGGATAATTTAGCAGAAATTTAACAAAATAATTTATTTGATAAATTTCTGATATAATTTGAATAATTTAATAATTTGCATAATTAAATAATAATTTTAATAAATAATAATAATTAATAATAATAATTTGATATAATTTATTTAATAACCGAAGTTTTGGGAATTGAAGCAGTGCGAAAAGCTATTGAGCGTGAAATGAATCACGTTATTTCGTTTGATGGTTCCTATGTCAACTATAGACATTTGGCTCTTCTGTGTGACGTTATGACTGCTAAA